AGGCCCATTAAACTGGGCCCAATAAGGCTACTGGGCCGGTAGGCCCGTATCTTCAGCCCGTCAGGGTTTGTCATCCTTGCGCTTGGGGTTCATGTGAACAGGGTTAGAGATAATTGCCACGTCATCATATATGGACGAATGAGAATATGACACGTGTCTTATAATAACTTTCATTTGTTTCATATAGGTCCTTAATAAGTTTGAAAAAATGTACACTTTAGTCCCTAAACTTTTTTTGTTTATGGGACACCCCAGTAACGAGGCGGCCTAGTATTACCCGCCTCGTTACAACGTTACAACACGTGTGGCGTTCCACGTCATCATTCTCACGTGTGACGTAAATATATACGGTGTCGTTTTATATTAAATGTTTATTGTACACATGACTACACCTGATTCTGGCAAGTATGTTTTCGATCTTGGAAGACGAGGAATAGACCCTAATAGTTCAAGGTCTTATGGAGATATATTATTAAACGATGAGTTTAAAGGAGTTATAGTATTTGATCATATTGTTTATTCAATAATATTTTTTGCTTACGGTAATGATTATCGTACATACTTGACAGTTGATGTATTATTGAATATAGCAGATGCTACGTCACAGAAGAAAGAGACCGAATATCTCCTTGGTAAGGTCAATTTGTTTAGAACCGGTTATCACAATGTTATGTATTGTGTTAACCAGAGCGCTACTCAACCGGTCGGTTTTAAGATCGACATGAAGGACGATAAGCGATATTCTTTACAGTTGATTGTGGGTAATGCATCAAATACTAACATCAGTAGTGTATTTTCTTGTTTCGTATCGGTTAATCTTAGAGGAGATATTCGAATTCCCGGACGACGTTCGGTTTATAAAATTTTTAGAGATTATTCAGAAGAAGAACCGAAGAAGAAACGGTTAATTGGTTTGTCTGAGGATATGGAGAATATGCAGATAGGAGATGAAGAAGATGACTTTGAAGTTTAAACGATGTCGTATAGAGTACTTCTATACTTAGAATATTTTATGAGATATAGAGAGCGTAAGCGTGATGTTATGATGACGTCGATAATGTAATTTAATTATGAAATAATAAAGAGAATATTTATTGATAATATGTTTATCGTTTACAGAGTTAATTTATGATGGGCTTTTTTATGCTGCAAGTGTTAGGCCCATTAAACTGGGCCCAATAAGGCTACTGGGCCGGTAGGCCCGTATCTTCAGCCCGTCAGGGTTCGTCATCCTTGCGCTTGGGGTTCATGTGAACAGGGTTAGAATAGAGATAATGATATTTACGTCATCAT